TGACCTTAACTGATGTTTTCAAGCTGGGTGGTTAACTTTAAAATAATCTAATGTTCACAACAGATCTATAAGAGCACTCAGCCAGTAACTAAAGGAATTCAAACTATTTGTGGCTTAAATAATTTTTGTTTGTGTGCTATCTAGGTGTTAGAAGCCCTCAAAGATTCAACTTCAACCAGGCCTGCCATCTTTGCGATGTCAAACCCTACAAAAAATGGTATGTGAAAACAAGTTATCTGGAACATATTGTAGTACTAAGACATACACAATTACACTTCTCATTTTCCTTACTCATCTATACTAACAATTCTCCTTCACTCACCTCCTTTCCCTTACAGCTGAATGCACTCCAGATGAAGCTTTCTCGATTTTAGGTGATAGTATTATTTTTGCCAGTGGAAGCCCGTTCAAAAATGTGGATCTTGGTAAGTACCATGGCATATACTTTAAATGTTTCTGTAGTCACTATTGTTTTTGTTGTCTGTTTGAGAGAATGTCCTTTTGGTGGATAGCTATCTATCCTTTGATATTTTTAGTGAAATGCTTGAGTAACTGTTTAGGGGAAAAAAAGCTGTGTGTTATGCTTTGGAATATTGAAGGATGATGTGGTAATGAAAGGACTGAAGGTTGAAAGTGGCATCAGGTTTGAATTGATCTCAAGACGACGGGGAACACTTTTCCTATGGGGGTGAGGGGTCTTGTTACGGTCCCTACTCGGAATTGCGTTATAGGACAACTCATAATGAAATCAGTAGGTAGAATGATGTATTATTTAGAAATTTAAAAAATAATTAGGGCTCGTTAAATAGAGAGAACTCTACGATCTTTAGAGTAGAAAAGTACTCTTGATTCAAGAATAATTTCATACATAATGCTATTTTTCTTCCTTACCACAGGATGTATACAAAGATGGTAGTTCGTTCTGTAAATTTTTGATTTTTAGAATTACCTAAATTACTCGTCTTATAATAGATTTATTTCGCACCCTAATACATACTTAACACTTAACTGAACATACTTAAATAAAAATTACATTATAATATTTAAGCTAACACACATAAATAAGCAATTACACAAACTTTTTATTGAAAAAAAAAAGCAATTACACAAGATTATTCCTTTTTAATTCCTTCTTTGATGAACCTTAGGGTAGGGAATTATTTTGCCCCTAACATCACTTCCCCCAGGGTGGCGCTTGTCCTCAAGTGCAAAATAATGGTAGCGGGTTTGCATGTGATCGGCGCTTTCCTAAGATGCTCCCATTGGTGATAGACCTTCTCCATGAATAAGAACTTCATGTTTGCCATTGTGAGTTCAGGAAGCCAAATGAGTAAGATGAAGGATGAGGAATTCCATGATGGACAATGGGAAGAGTGGGAGAAACACCTTGCTGTCCATGAAAGGCCTTGAGAGAAGAAACATGGAAAACTGATTGCAATTTAGAGGAGGGTGGCAAGTCTCGTTTGTGAGCAACTTCATCAGTCCTCTGTATGATCTTGAAAGGCCCATAAAAACTGGGAGACAATTTCTGCACTCTTGTGACCCTGTGAAATCTGTCTATATGGCTGAAGCTTTGGAAGAACTAAGTCACCCTCTTGGAACACAATTGCCAATGGCTACTATCATATATTTTGTTCATGCTATGTTGAGCTTGCAACCAGCCAACAAAAAGTTCGGACTTAAATTTCTCTTGCTCCCTATCCTCTTGACAAGTTTGCAATAATTTTTCAAACAGAAATTGTAGATCACCTATAACAATTAGCTCTGGTACCAATTTGTTGTGGTCCTTACTTATGGATCGCGTTATAGGACGATTCACAATGAAATCAGTAGGTAGAATGACATTTTTCTATGATTTTCTACCTTTACCTATTTTTAGAAATTAAGAAAATAATTAGGACTCATTGGATAGAGAGAACACTACAATATCTAGAATAGAAAAGTACTCTTTATTCAAGAATAATTTCGACCCTTGGGCTGAACAACTTGAATGATATGGCAAGAGAGGATTTATGTGTCCATACGACAGTCAAACCAAGTTTCTCCAAGAACTAAAAGTTCAGTTTGGAATTTGGAAAGATTGAGATAATTTACAATCAACTAAGGAGATCTTTTTCATTACTCTTAGACTTGTGAAAAAACGAAAGTTTAATGTTTGGTATATACAACCTACCCGATCCCTGATCGAGACAGTCAAATAGAATGGGAGTTATGCAACATGGTTCATGCATATTAACTAGTAAATTCCCCGTGAAATATATAGAATACATATTCTGTTGTAATGCAGATCCTTGTAATAGCATGATTCCAAATGTGACCTGCTTCACCCCATAGACATGCACAAACATCTTTTTGTCTGTGTTTTGCTCCATGGACTTCAGATTAAGTGCTATAGAGCAACTTGAAGCTTTAGTTAATTCAAGGATCCACAATTGTTCCATCATCCAGAATTATCCCTGTTTTGATTTCAACTCTGAGTTTACTGATGAAGATATATTCATTTTAATTTTTAAATGGCACAGGAAATGGCCACATTGGGTACTGCAACCAGGGAAACAATATGTACCTCTTTCCGGGGTTAGTTCAGCTAATTCCACTTCATAAAGGGAGATATGTGTTTCTCTTATTGATTTTCTGTAACTCTTGGCCTCTCCTTTCAGGATCGGACTTGGAACTCTTCTATCTGGTTCTCCAATCATATCTGATGGCATGCTTCAGGCTGCAGCAGAGTGGTATTGCTCTTTCTCATCCTTTCTCATTTAATTTTGTCGGGGTACAAACTTCTGTAAATTCTGTTTTTGGCAACCTTCTCTACAGAAATTACAATGGAATAGAAGGGGGGAGGGGTAGGAAGTGGAATTTCTGCTTCTCTTGTTTCATTTTAGTTGGATTTACTAGTTGTGGTGTTCCTCTCTTGCTATTATTTATCCACCTTTATAATTCTCTTTTCTTGGATGTTGTATATCTTTTACGGACCTCAACTGGAAACTACAGCCTAGCTGCATACATGAGCGAAGAGGAGGTTCTAAAAGGGATTATATACCCTCCAATATCTAGGTAGATAAATGGATCCTTTATTTTCCTTTTGTCACCCTGCATCTATTTTGGTTATATATTAGGGGATTTCAGGAACCTCTATTTTAATCGTCTTGGTCGTTTTTGCTATCTTATTATTATATACAGGATAAGAGATATAACAAAGAAAATAGCTGCAGCTGTTGTCAAAGAAGCAATAGAAGAAGATCTGGCTGAAGGTTATCGTGAAATGGATGCTAGAGAGCTTCGGAAACTCAGTCCGGTAGTTTGATCATCTGTTATAGCTTAAGTTTATAGCATTATAAATAAAGCACATGGTGGTTAATGAACTTACCTTCTTTTCAGCTAAACTATAACTGTGTAAAACCATTTAAGACGCATGAACCAATTGTGATGTGTGCACGATCATGCAAAAGGGCATGTGTGTGTTAGGTCCTGCAATATATATGAAAAGCGTACGAAAATATAGATTGTAAAATTGATAACTGGGTTTCATACCATATGCAAAAGAAATCTAATAATTACTAATTCTAGCTGCACTTTGGCCTTTTAAAGGATCTTGTATTTCCTAGTAAAAGCGGTATGTATATATATATATTCTTCTAGATAACTAGGTCATGAGAATAACCCTAGCTTCTTAGGTTTGATTACCACCAGTCATGTTCAACATAAGCCAGGTGATGTTAGATTTTCATAAAATGCTCTTGCACGAGATCTTTATATTGGCAGTAACATCAGTTTCTTTGGTTGCAGGAGGAACTCCTTGAATTTGTGCAGAATAATATGTGGAATCCAGAATACCCAACATTAGTTTACAAGAAGGAATAGTTTTTGCCAAATCTTTACCATAACTGCAAGGTGACAAAAACACTGTAAAGGAGCTCCTGGTTTTGTTCACAGACCATTTGCATGGAAGATGAAGAGAGGATAACAGACGGCCTCACATGTCTTCATTCTGTTGTTGGATCATATTTGTTGGCGAATCGTCTTTAATTATCCACCGGTACCTCAAGTATGTCAAATTTGCTGTAATATTTCTGATTTATGTTGCGGTGATGTTGTATTACGACTATGCAAGTTCCCAACAATGTAATTGATTCTGGTCACGTCTACTTCGATGCCTTCAAAAAATTCTTGGCTATTCGAAGTGAGCGGAATAGTTCGGGGTAAGGGCGGGCCGATCCCCCTTCCACTCCGACGACAAAGTTTGATATTTGTTATAATAGTTCAGAATGATTTTCGGGTCATGTAACAAGAATCTCTGAAACAATAATAATGGGAATGTACAAGTGTGTCGGAGCATATATATTATGTATTCAAGTCGATTACTGATACGACTAAATACATCCTACAATCTACGGTGCATTTTCACAAGTTATTTAAATTTTGGAACAAGTGAATTTTGGTTTTTGCATTAATTTAAAAAAATTAGTGAAATTTATTACTTACTATTAGAATACCATTCGATTATTTCTTAATCTTTTTTAGTTCGTAATTTAACTGTTAAGTTTAAACGGCTGTTTCGAGTTATTTAAATATAGATATATTTTTATAAAATAAGTTTAAATCTACTAATGTTTTTTTATAATTTTTTTAATTTTATGAACTGGTATACTAAATACAATAAAAAAAAAATTGAAATTATTAAACTATTAGTGAAGGGGGTAGTCAGCCTGGACAGCCAGAGCTGGCGGCCGTCGGCTCCCTCTTGTTTGAGCCGTTAAGGATCTTCGCATAATTTTTTAAAAATAATAATAATAATAATTTTTTTTATTTAAAAAAAGAAGAGATTCAAAATTCAAAAATTCAAACGCGTAAAGGCATAAATAATTTTCTGTTGAGCACTGATAGTAAGTCAGTGACAATCCAATCAAAACAAGCCACGTGGACAACAACATCTTTCACCGACCGAGCGTGATGTTTGTCCGAAAAATTTCATTTATTTTTCTTTTTCCGATCTTTCCTGCTTCTTTAATCTTACCGCAGAAAAACCATCTTCTCTCTGTTTTTCTCTCTGGCGTCTATTTCAAGTCAAGGCTCCTTCTGCTCCTTTCTTCGAATTTTCGGGTTTTCTTAATACTGAAAGAAGATCCAACGTTAGGAGAACAAATACCGAGGTGGAAGTAATCCGATCTTTCGATTTCTGTTTTTGTTGCTGAGAAATAAGAACAAGCAAAGATGACGACCATGGAGAGCTTGATAGGTTTGGTAAATAGGATACAAAGGGCTTGCACCGTGCTTGGAGACTATGGAGGTGGAGATAATTCTTTTTCTTCTCTATGGGAAGCTCTTCCTTCTGTTGCAGTTGTTGGTGGCCAGGTTGCTCTCCCCTTCACCCCTCTCTCCCCCTCTTTTTTTTTGTTTTTGGAGAAATTTTTGTTCCTCTTGTTTCTTGAAGAAATTCTCTTGTTTTTGTTTTGTTCTAAAGTTATTAGCCGAGATAGGAGTTAAGTTAAGTATGCTAAACATAGTCAGTTTAGATGTCCAGTGAGAGGTTGTTAGGTTTTCAACGGATATTTCTCTTGGATTTATCAGTCTAAGAAAAATTATTAGCCGATATGAACTTTCCTGGAATGGTACTTAGGCCAAATGAGAAAGTGGTAAAAGTTTTACTGGATCGTACTTGCTAAAAACTCCTAATGTTCTGGGGAGATGGAAGTTTCATTTGCCTGTAGATTTAGTCTTCTTCGTTTTGAATTCTGTGCAGAGTTCAGGAAAATCTTCCGTGTTGGAGAGCATAGTTGGCCGAGACTTCCTTCCTAGAGGATCTGGTTAGTGCTTCTTCTCTGTTAGTCCTCTCAGTCTCTCTCTCTCTCTCTCGCTCTCGCTCTCTCTAAATAATTTGTTTTGCGCCTGTACTCTCTTATTTCTCACTCTCTCCAATTTTGACTATTGATTGAGATGCTTTTTCTTAATGGGGGATTCCAGGGATTGTGACAAGACGACCGTTGGTGTTGCAGCTCCACAAGACAGAGCAAGGAGCTCAGGAGTATGCCGAATTTCTTCACTTGCCCAGGAGGAGATTCACTGATTTTGGTACATTTTCCTTTTATTACAACATTTTATTTTGTTCGCTACCTGGAAATTTTAAGGACCGACCACAGCATTTTGTATTTCATAAGATTATAAATGAGAGGTTTATCCTGAGGAGAAACACAAGATATGGTATCTTACCATGAGCATTTTGTGTTTCTTTTCATTATTTTCGAATTTTTAACTTAATGTAGCTATATTGGGATGATGTTTAAATTGCAAGATAATTAGATTGTCCTCAACTTGTTTGGCTGGGAATCTCCTTGTGTTATGTAATTTTCTCTTATGTTTATTATTTTCCTTTGGCTGCAGCCGTGGTTCGCAAGGAAATTCAAGATGAGACTGATAGGATAACTGGGAAGACAAAACAGATATCCCCAGTTCCTATTCACCTCAGTATCTATTCTCCAAATGGTTCGATGTTATTAAAATCATTAGTTATTCCTTTGAATGAATGATACACATTCTGCTTTTGTTTGTAACTTTCTAACCTGATCCTTTTGTTTACAGTTGTGAATTTGACACTGATTGATTTACCTGGACTGACCAAAGTTGCTGTTGGTATGTCTTGAGTTCCGTCTCTTTACTAATGATTTGACTTATATGTGATGTAAAGTTTGTTCATGGAGACTATTTTCTCTCCAGAGGGGCAGCCAGAAAGCATTGTTGAAGACATTGAATCTATGGTTCGATCATATGTAGAGAAGGTAAGCAAACATTGTATATATTTTTATGGTAAAAAGCAGACATTATATTCATTCTGGGCTCCACCCTTTTTGTCTCAATTTTTTAAATTGATAAAAAAGAGGAAAATTTATCTACTAGAATAAATTTGTAGTAATTCATTTATTTGTTTGGACTCTTTTAGGGCACTTAATTCATGTTCTAATTGGTTGGTTACTTTGAGATGCTTTGTAGCCTAATTGTATCATACTGGCAATATCTCCGGCCAATCAAGATATAGCAACATCAGATGCTATCAAGATTGCTAAGGAAGTGGATCCATCAGGTGCAAGCTAGTGAACAGTTCAACTGGATTCTGATCATGCATTTCTTCTAGACCACCTGTCACTGGGTCAATTGTTCTAATATTCTGTATGCTATGGTATGATTTCTTAGGTGAACGAACATTTGGAGTGTTGACCAAGCTGGATCTGATGGACAAAGGAACCAATGCATTGGATGTAAGTGGCTTCTATGAGTGAGTGTGCATGTGACTGGTGACAGATGTTTTTTTGTAAATTTTGTATTCTGAATGATTTCTAACTATCATGTGTATCTTGCACAATAAAGATATAATTCTAAATTCTTGGTAGTTCTCAAACATTTTTTAGTAAAATCTGGAAGGTTATTTTGATTTTCATGCGAACTACAACCAACTTCGGTAGGTGCAGATATTGCATTTGTTTTTGCTTTTTTTGTTTCTTTTTAGTTATAGCAAGCCCAGGTCTTCTTTTAGTATCAGATCTTAGATATAGTGTTTTCTCCCATATTAAGAAAGTCCTATTGAGACTTTTTACTTGTCCTTGTCTTTTCTAAGGTTCTTGAAGGAAGATCTTACAGGTTGCAACATCCTTGGGTGGGAATTGTGAACCGCTCACAAGCTGACATAAACAAGAACGTTGACATGATTGTTGCTAGACGCAAGGAGCGTGAGTATTTTGCAACTAGTCCTGATTATGGACATTTAGCTAATAAAATGGGTTCAGAGTATCTAGCAAAGCTTCTATCCAAGGTATGGTTTTGGGAGCTTTTCAATTTTAGCTGGATTTTATTTTCATCTGCGTGTCATTTTTGTGATGTGGCCTTCTTTTGCTTTTAGCATTTGGAATCTGTTATTAGGGCCCGGATACCAAGCATCACGTCCTTAATTAATAAAAGCATTGATGAACTTGAATCAGAGATGGACCATCTTGGTAGACCTATTGCTGTTGATGCTGGGGTGAGCAGCTAGATTCTGGCATTTAGTTTTGAATGTTATACTTTCTTTGTTGCGCTTAACTGATGTTTTATCTTAGGCTCAATTATACACAATTTTGGAGCTTTGCCGTGCATTTGATAAAATATTCAAGGAACATCTGGATGGAGGGTAAGTTCTTGTCTACATTGCTGATTTTGCATTTGTTGTTCTTAGGAACTTCAGATTTCAAAAAGGAAAAAATCTGGTATACTGTCGTTTAAAAAAAAAATATCTGGTACACCCTAAAATGTCATTTCAGTTAATCTTCTATGTAGATCTAAATGTTCATTGAACATAAATCATATCTTATTTAATTCCATGGTTATGTCAAACGTTGCACATTCTTTGCCTTATTTAAATATCCTTGGTCGAAGAGGCAAAGTGTGTGTGGAATCCACAAGGCAAAGTGTGTTTAGAATTGCGAGTTGAATTGCATTCTGACCTTTCGTCCCTTATTAAAGCTGTTGCTGGTTGTGCGTGATATCTTGGAGCAAAACTTCTTCGAAGCAAATTAATAGCAAGTGCTAGTCCTTGTCCTATTGAGTTGGTTCTTTGATAGATAAACAGCCTACAGTTCTACTTTTTAAGCTCAAGATATATGGATCCTTCGGCTATAAATATGTCTAATAAAAACATCGGTTTGCTGGAAATTTGTCCACAAGAGTGCAATCCTTATTTCCCTTCCTAGGTCTATTTTAAAAAGGACAGTCCCAGACAATTAATGTCAACTGAACTCTTGACAATTCTCTTTGCACTTAGGCGACCTGGAGGTGATCGTATCTATGGGGTCTTCGACAACCAGCTCCCTGCTGCTTTGAAGAAGCTTCCGTTTGATCGGCATCTTTCCTTACAAAATGTAAAGAGAATTGTGTCTGAGGCAGATGGTTATCAGCCTCACTTGATTGCTCCAGAGCAAGGTTATCGACGACTAATTGAGGGGGCACTGAACTATTTCAGAGGCCCATCTGAAGCTTCTGTGGATGCTGTAAGTTGTCCTGTTTATGGAGCCTCCTGGATGTTAGTTTTCACCTCAGCATACTTGGGAATTGTTTTATGGAACCCTTTTGTAATTAACATGGAAAGTTTTCATCATATTATGATGTAGGTGCACTTTGTCCTGAAAGAGCTTGTAAGGAAGTCAATTGGAGAAACTCAGGTGAGCTTTATGATGAGAGTACAACTGGTTCTCGGTTTTTCCCTGCGAGAGAATAAGACTTATATTTATCTTCATTGTGTCAAAAACAGGAGCTAAAGCGCTTTCCAACACTGCAAGCTGAAATAGCAGCTGCTGCTAATGAGGCCTTGGAGAAGTTCCGTGAGGAAAGTAAGAAAACAGTTCTCCGGTTGGTTGATATGGAATCTTCATATTTAACTGTAGATTTCTTCCGGAGACTTCCACAGGAAGTGGAGAAAGCAGGAAATCCTACTGGACCAGCCACAGATCGATATGCGGAGGGCCACTTCAGGAGGATAGGATCCAATGTGTCCTCCTATGTGGGTATGGTTTCGGACACACTAAGAAACACTATTCCGAAGGCTGTCGTTTATTGTCAAGTTAGGGAGGCCAAACAATCTCTATTAAATCACTTCTATACACAAATAGGGAAGAAAGAGGTATGCACGTCTCTCTCCCACTCTATATTCTGTCGATTTATCCGTACTTTGCTATATGTGTGTTCATATCTATACTTTTAATATTTGTTCCACTGTTGTTAGAATCTTAGAAGTTCATTACTTGAATTTTTCTGCTTGATTCCATTCAGTAATAGAATGATTTGAATTGTATAAATGAACCACTATCTATAATGAACTGTAAACAAGCAGTAAAAATTGATAGTAAATTGCATAATTTGATTCAGTTTTTGTTGTGCACTCCATTCTAAATAAAACTGAATCTAATCAAATATTTCAGTAATTTATGTTTATTTACTTATAAGTTACAATGTTTATACAATTTGCTTTGAAAACAAGTATTTTTTTAATAATGTTAGTATAAATTTCTTAATATTTTGTACTTTGATATTTTTTCTTTTAGAAAGTATATACACATGACAGTAAATTTTGATTAAGTCCAAATTGCAGTTAAAATGAATTGGGTTTTTGATTAGCAATTTGAGTCCTTTCTTTGGGATAAAAATTAGCAATTTGAATCTTGATTACAACTATAACTTGATGGCTTAGCTATTTCTTACTGCATGCTATTTAAGTATTTTGTCATAATGGACTAATGGAAAATCATCCAGTAATATATACTGGATAGATGTGTTGCCTTTTTGGTGATAATGGGGCATTGCAAGTTGAGCAAAGCTTGTATTTTTCAGATATAATTTGCGTATGTTTGCACTGTTGTTTTTCTCTAATTTGCAGCATGGTAGCTATTCTCTTATTTTTAGGAGAACGTTTCGTTACTTTTGATGGAGTTTAGAAATGAGCTATGAAATTTTGGAGAAAAAAAGGCTTGAACTGTCATTTCTAGTCTAAGAAAGTCATTTCTAAATGATCTTATTATCAGTATGTTTATAAATGAAATGAAAATTATAGATTATTTACTGTCCAAAAAAGGCAGATGGACTTCTAAGATTCTGGTCACGAATAATGTTCTATTGTATTTTTTTGCAGGGTAAGCAGCTTGGACAGTTGTTAGATGAAGACCCAGCGCTGATGGAAAGGAGACAACAGTGTGCCAAGAGGCTTGAATTATACAAGGCTGCCAGAGATGAAATTGATTCGGTATCATGGGCCAGATGAAACGATTCCGCGTAGTTATTGAGGCAGAGGTTCTAGAACATCTTATTCATTTTGTCCTGTATGGGACAAGTCCAGATTCTTTTTCCGTATGTATTTGTTGCTGTGTAATTTCTGATTGTAGTTTTCCATTCTTGGATGTTAGTTTTATGTTTGACATCTGCGTATATATTATCTGAGAGAGATCACTTTTGCACGGTTAATATAATGGGGTTGACCCAGTTTGTGCTGTTTCGTCTAAAAGTTATGCAGTGAAGCAACTTTTGGAATTTAGAATTTAGAATTTAGTAGTGAAGATCAAGATTTATGTTCTGCAAATGGTCCAAAATATTCTGATCCTTTCCTTGAATATACTAGTATTGTTTTGTTCTTCACCTGTTGTCGAAGAGGCTCTGTGCCAGTACTATTATGTTCTTAATTCGAAGCGAGCATGGTGCTAATTGTTGATGAGGTAAATATATATTTATGCATGTAGAGCTTCCAATTTGAAATGAAAAAGAGTAGATTTGAAGTGCTTCTTCATTCAAGTATTCCTAATAGCCGTTGTCTTCATGTCCAGATCTTCCAAAGTTGTCCACAGTTTAGGATCATCAAAATCCTGGATGACAAAACTTGCTCCAGCTTCCAACAAGAGTTTCTCAGGGTCTCTTGCTCCCAACCCCACCACCGGCATCCCAGCTGCCACCCCGGCTTTTACTCTGTCCCGGCTTTTACTCCCGAAACAGAGTCCTTCGCAGCCGAAAACGCAAATAAGTAAATCTTTTTTATTGGTTAACAACAAAGCAAAAACTAGATAGTACACACACCAACCTCAAACACCAAGGCATGTTTACGTGTGAGACGTTGAGCGCTTGAAGCGCCTTCAGATAGAGATCTGGAAATGGTTTTGGCCGTTCACATTCGTTCCCAACGACAAGGATTTTGAAGAAATCTGAAAAGCCTACCATGGATATCAACAACTCTCCTTTTGATCTCGGTGCATTTGTCACGGCACTTCGTTTTAATCCCCGATCTTTGATCCACCCGCACAACTTCTCCAGCCCTTTCATGGCTACCAGTTCTTCTTTGGCCAGTCTGCAATTCTTTTTTTCTCTCAGAATTTTGTGATCGAAACATTTGAGTTCACAATATTAGTGGTAAGCACCTGCCTTTTTCAATACACAAGTTAAATATTATGTCTGCAATTACACTACCTCTATATCTTGAAAGTAATGTATTAAATCAAAGATCAATCATATCAAATTCAACAATCATAAAATTATTGAATTCTTCAAACATATTATTTCCAGTAAATATAAGATAGTCTTCTGCCATTTTTTAACTTCTGACAGTATTTTCAAAAGTTTACTTTCTCTTCTTTAGTTCCAACAAACACCACATTACCATTACATTCTATTTTTTCTTAGTTCGAACGCTAACCTTTTGAAGATGTCTTCGTTGTCTTGGAAAAACTTTCTGGTTCGTTGGCGATCGCAATCAGGGAAGGAGGACACCACAGAGATGTTCATAATCTCGACCAGTAATGTTCTCAACGAAGAAATCCTCAGTGGTGGGTATTCCTCCATTAAAACCCACCTAAGAATTTAAATTCCACATACAATTACATTATCTATTGACCATACCCAGCTGGGTATGTATACACATATATGTATGTGAATAAAAGACATTTAAAGAAAAAGAGTAGAGATACCCCAAATGGGTACATATACACATATATGTATATGCATGGAGTCGTGAAAAGAAAAAGAAAAAAGAAGAGAGAGATACCCCAAATGGTTATACACACACATATATGTATGTGAATGAAGCCATGAAAAGGAAAAGAAAAAAGATGCCTCTTGAAGCATTAGGCTGAAAGCATGAAAATGGAGAGGATCCGAATCACAGAGCGTCCCATCTATGTCGAATAATATAGCTTCAAGAGGAGCCGCAGATGCCAGACTGCATTTTTCACCGTCACTGCGTAGAAATGAAGAAGGGAGAACCAAGAAAATACAGAGATCAAAGGAGAAAGAGAAGAATCTAAAGAGTGAAGAGATAAAATACCAGGGAAGTGAGTGTTGGGTATTAGAGGAATTAACGGACAATGGAGGAAAAGCGACATGGAATTGAACTCTGAGTTGCTGTGAGTAATGAGTTGAGAAATGTTGGTGATGAGGAAGATGAAGCTGAAGGCTGCAAGGCAGAGAGATCGTGTTAAAAAAATGTTCAGTGTAAAGAAATTGAATGGCTCAGGTTCTGCTGATTAATTCATTCTAAGCCACTGCTTCTTCCTTTCTTCATCAGGTAGTGGGTATCCAGGCCCCTGCACAACTTTTACATACATATATATATCTATGTATACATATATATATGCATATCACCAGAAGAAGGCCCAAGCCTGGAATCTGGTATGGAAGGACTGTATACGTTAATTAATAATCTATACATTTTATTTATATTTAATTGTCATATATATATATATATATGTAGATTAATATTAATATCTTTTAAGTATAAAATACAAGCAAAAATTAAATATATGTATATATTTAACGCTGTATTTTTAAAAAAGAAGGAAAAATTTGAGCCATCCCAATTGGCCAGCCAACCACTCCACAAAAATTCATTTTTCACACTTCTCAAAATTCATTCCTTTAATTTTTGATTCTCCAGAATCGAAATCCCCCAATTCCCAGACCTGACTGTCTTGTCTTCGCTCTCGATAATATATTCTCACGAGCTCTCAGCCTCAGCAGAACATCGTCGAAAACCGGATCTTTTGCTGGAAATCATGCAGAAAGAGAGGAAGATCCGAAAGACAGCGGAAGAGGGAGATGGAGAAAGAAGAAGGATTCTATAGGTAAGGATTCTTATTCATTTATGCGTATCAAGTAAATCGTGCCTTCGCTTTTTATTTTTTACTTTTGAAATTGCGATTCCTGTTATTTTTTTTTTCTCTTGTTGTGCTTAAGCTCTTAACTGCCTATCAAGTGATCTTTGTAAAATCTCAACTAGGTTTAGTATTTTCCCTGCTATCACTCACCCCGCCGGTGTTGTGGATGGTTAATTGATAGCTCGGCGATGATGATGATAGTTGCCTTTAGTAGTTGCTGGCACATCAGCTCGCTACTCGTTGTCACTAACTTACACGATCACCTCAGGGACTGGCGTGTCGATCCTTCCTTTTGTGTCATAGTGAGCTTTGATGTAAAACTCAATGTTGTAATGAAAACAATTTAATAAGTAGGATGATCAAAATAGAACTTCTCACAGAATTGGGATTGACCCACCTGCATCAGCAAAAAAGTTACAGCAAAATTTCCAGATTGTCTTCCGTCATCAGCATCTTCTTCTATTTGAACTCGTTGTGCAGAGTGCAAATCAGTTCCAGAATTTGAAGGAATCCAGAAACCTTGTATGTTGAAAGAAGTGATGGATGAGCCTCATTCTGTCAATAGTCCTAGAAGGATCCTTAGCTTTTCAAAGAGGAGGAGGGCCTCTGTTTCCTTTCTAGATCCTCATGACAAGGCTTCTGGGGTCGGATTGTCTGGAGAACATGGCCCAAAGCCGTCTGAAGTCTATGGATTTGTAGGGTCAATCACAACAGTTGTTGCTACAGGTAGATTTCATTTTACTTCATTTTTCATGAGGTTTTTCTTTTCCATATGTCTTGCATTCTGAAGCTGCTTTATTGTTTAAAATTCTGTGGGTGCTATATGTATGACAACTTTTGTTTTTCATTTATTACTGACAAAATAATACTAATAATGGGGACTTTTCCTGATAATCTGGTCCTTACTGACAAAACAATACTAATAATGGTAAATGTTTTGTTAGTTTTTGTCAAATCTATTGAAATGGATTGTACATGTCAATTCAAACATAATATGAGCCTGCATGTCCTTCTGCTCGTGGACTTTTTGAGAGGAATCGTAGGATGTTCTTTGTAGCTCAACATCTGAGGTTTTCCTAGAGAAACAGCTAGTAATTTGATTTCATCTCCCATCTGAAACATACTAGAATTCTTGATAGATGTTTGTGATCTTCTTGTGCCTAGTTCATCAACCTAAAGGCTGTAAATGCATATCTTCAGAAGGACCTTTTTGTTGAATTTCACTTTAGGATTTTGATGAAAACTACATGCTCTGAGCTTCTTATAAATCTTTTTCATATTTTGTTTGAGCAGTTATTTTCTTGGTTTGGGCGTATGTTCCTGAGCATTTGCTACATTCAGTTGGAATCTTTTACTATCCTAGCAGGTCAGTAATATTGCTGTCTGTGATAAGTTTTTAGCTTTTTTCAGTTCTAGAACTTCTCTTGATCCTAAAGATATTCAGATAAAGAAACTCAAGTTTTATTTTCTAAATTCCTTGCTACGAACACAAGGAATAATGAAAAGGATAGCTCAAGAAGATTATTGCTTTTGGGATGTGGACTGTTTTTCAATTACCTATATAAGAAGCATATGATGGGTCAAGAAGAACACATCCCAGCTTCAAGGATTATTCACTAAATGATGGAATACTAGTATCCTTTTCATAAACTTTTTGCTTCATTCTTTGGCTGTGAAATCCTTCTGTATGTGATCAAACTGCATTGTCTGCAATAAGGACTGATTTACCTTTTTTGGGACTTCCACATAAATCCTTGGTAAGCATCTTTTCTTGCTTAACGCCTTGACAAACATATAGCATTAAATATGATTTGATTTAAAGATCAAAGTTCGAGATCGCCAATCATAATAGCCAATAACTATCATCGTTGTCATCCCAATGACAGATCTAAGTGTGACAATGTTCATTTCGATCTCTATTTGACCTATTGTAGGAGAAAAGATATTGCAGAATAAGCTTAGTATTATCTATTTCTCGTGAATATTATTTCTGCTATTAAACTCTGTTATTCGAGTTTGCCTTGCCAGGTACTGGGCATTGGCGGTGCCAACATATGGTATGGTTACTGTAATATTAGCATTGGTATTCTATGTTGGCCTCAGCTTCATGTCAACTCCTCCTCCAACATCAATAAATACTTTTTTGGGTAAGTTACAACTTGCTTATAGTAATATGTTAGAGATATTTTTTAAACTGAGAAAGGTTGCTGCATGTTGGTTAATTAGGGTATCAATACCATTCATACCTTAGCATTTACTTGTTAGATAATGTTGTTACGAGGATATATATAAGTTGGCTAGAGTTTTTATTTAAATTATTTTTTGTTCAGTATTGAGGAAGGGTGTGATTAAAGAAACAAACTTGTGTGTTTATATTCTGTAATTTAGTACTTCTACTCTCAGATGAATTCAGTAGAGAACCGGCAGACTTTATTCCATCTACAGAGGAAGATGAGTCACCCATTGAGCCGATATCTGATATTAGCATCTTCAGAGTCAATGATCTCATGTTTAATGATAAAAAATGACACAGCACCCATGGATACTCTGCCTTTGCCTATATTTTCTTGAAGAAAATGTGTTCTGTCGGCACTGAGTAGAGATTTTTAAAAGAACTTGAACGCAAATAATGTCAAGTCCGCATGTGATTGATCAGGTAAGTATAGTCGGCCCTATAACTGTCGACACGACACTACTTGAGACGAGCACGAATGCTTGTGTTTAGGAACAAAGAAGAGGAAAAAAAGCGAGAAATAGAGGAACAGAAAAAACAGACAAGGAAAGAAATAATTGATATTCCCCCTTATTTTTGGTGTAAAATTTTCAGCTACTTATATCAATTTCTGTTCTGGATAAAAATCAATTTACGAACTATAAACAACAAATGATCATTTGTCAAGTTCTTTGATTGTTCAGGTTTTCTTTCTATTTGATCCACAACTAAGGCTGAGCAGTATTTGTGTCTTGCCGTCTATGGTTTACACCAGCTGAGTATAGATATCATTTTTGATAAACTCACATCTTGCATCAGGATTTACAGAGAAATAGGACAATTATCACAAAACCCTAGTTATTCTTTGTACTTGTATTATAATGTGGTATAAATAACAACTTCATTTTATTCTGATCGAAACACCATTGTCAGATTTTGTATGTAACATATCTATGAGGAAGAGAAAAGAGAAGATAGAAATGCTACATCTCTGTTTATTTTTTATTTTACTCTCAGACCTTTGTTAAAAGAAAAGAAAACAAACTCCCAAAACTTACATCTCTTATGATAAGATTATTTGTATGTATATCTACATGATTTCCCTCGGCCTTTGATTCTCAAGCATAAGCATAGTCCTGTTTTTTCTCTTCTCTTGGTCCTGCAAAAAAGTACTCTTCTCCTTGGCTGCTAAATGCCCTCTCTATCTCTACTCCTTTTATTTTAAACGCCAACTCCATTGCTTCCCTTCCCATACTCTTCACTACATTCCTTCTTCCTACACATCATTACAGTCACAGCACCATCAAAATACTTGTCTAACAAATGGGTCGAACCAAATAATGTAATGTAGTGTATTAGTCCACTCTATTGTATATACCTGCAAGTGGGTATCTAATGTTGTTTTCAGCATTGACATTGAAGCAAAGGATTTGCAGATTGGTGGTGGGTGATGCAAGCACTACCCAGGGATGAGCCGGCGGGACAACGAATATCATGTTGTTTCTCAAGCCTGAACTTATTCTTTGGTAAGCTGAGCTGCTCTTCCCTTGCTTTGACTCCTTATGAGTCACCTGAAACAAATAAAAGCAACAGATAGAAGTTTATAGAGCAGTAGTGTGAGAATAAGAAAATACATCAGATGCAAACTAGATATATAAACAAAGAAAAACTGTAGTACTAAATCTATAACTAACACCGTATGATATGATTTTATTTGACCTAGTAAAACAAAAAGAAAATAAAGTAAGATGCACTAATTTTGAACTTCACCATTTCAAAGCGCCCTTCCCCATTGATGATGATAGCTATTGTAGTCACCCTGGAGTTGTACATTGGCGCAGACATGGATCCCTGGTAAGTTTTATTAAACACAGTAAGAGAGAATAACCCATAATCAGTACGGTAGGGATTGGTGCTTCATTTGGATGTTTTATAAGCTGAAAAGTGTTGGGTTTACGTTGGTGATGTTGACGAAAGAAAGCATTAGATTCAGGTCATGAAGCGGTCTGTAATGAAATGAAGTAGCTTGGAAGAGTTGGCCATGGCGGTTGCTGTAAAACGGACGTCTCTTGATTATGTTGTAAGAGAGTCTTGATTCACCTGCAAAGGCCAGAAGCTACAACCTTCCTCCTCTACACGGCTGCTTATTGCCTTCACTTGTTCTTTACTCGCTTTCATGATGCTCCCTCCATCCTGTTGTTTGAAAAGCTTCTCCAATCTCTCTCTTCTAATCTGATCATTTACATTCAAGAAAACAATTTGCAGTGTTGAAATAGAAAAGAACAGAAGTCGAAACAGTTCATCGAGTCGAATTACTACTAACGTTGAGAGCAGCTTCGAGTACTTCCGAGCTGAATCCTGGGTAAAATGATTCAGGGTCTCGACCACCAGGTCCATAAAATGCCTTGATTCCATTAAAAAGAAACCCATCAGCAGAAGTTTAGTATATCAGACGATGATCAGTTCATTTGTTCATTTACCTCGTATTCGCCATGGAGATTTACAGGTCGTAGGAGCTTGATGATGAAGAGTTTCTCGTTTTCATCTCTGTTCACCATGTAAATTGGAGTACCTGCAGAAACTTTTACTGTATCTCCAAATTCAACGTTCAACCTCTCTGTCTTATCTTCACGTACCAAACCGATCGTTGCTCGACCTACAGGGATTTATGTTAAATTAAAGCAGAAACACACACAGATACGATCGAACAGTAACAAATTAAAGAGATCAAGCAATCGAAATTTTTTTTTTTACCCCTTGCAACAAAGAGAACGGCGTCAGCGTCCCAGTGACTTGGAGCAACGAAGCTAAGAGGATTTGCTGCAAGAAATGCTACTCTGTAATTCCTGATTCCTCGAAGGAGCTTTGACTTGCTCGTGAATTTCTCAAGAACATCCACTCTTCCTTGCTCCGTTTTCACTTTCGTAGTCAGGTGTTTATCCTCAAACACATACGGGTTACTATCATCATTCTCTTCCTCTTCGTCATCGTCATTTTCTTCTTCTTCTTCTTCTTCTTCTTCCTCTTGTTCTCTCCTCCTACTATGTTGGCAGCGAAGGCGACAGAGCTGCCTCTGCTCTCCCCGTAGACTATCGCACTTTTCTTGACAAATACTCAACTGGGCTTGAGGATCTAAAGAAGAAGATCCATCTTCTCCATCACTGCCGCCAAGTACTTTTTCGCAGTGTCCTTGTCGAGACCGCTCTCTCCTTCTCTTCTCCTTATAATACTCGTCACATCTCTCGAAGCATCTTTGCTTATCTTCCTCACCGACCCGTCTTAGCTGCCTGCACTGGTGCTTACACTGCAGCACTTCTGGGTCTTTCATACCATATGCTAAACTAACAGAAAGAAAGAGAAAAGAAAGGACGAACGCCGCAGAAAGAAGCTCTGCTTTGGTGGCCATTCTGGTCAAAAGAGTCTCCGACGGATGCTCGCTTGATGAAGGGGGTGGGGAATACGAGGTGTGGGCTTAGAGAAGAAAATAAGAAGAGGTTGGAGATGAGAATGGCGAGCAGAGGACATGCGAGAAGACAAGTGTCCGCGCCATGTGTCAGTTGAATGAGAGTGAAGATCAGCAGAGTCACGAGGGTGAGTGGGTACGATTCAATACTAGTTTAATGTATATAAACACATGTTAATTATAGTTATTTATTTTATTTAGCTGACTTCTTTGATGGGTTTAATTAGTGTTTCGTTCTCTTATTAACAAAAGGGTTCCCACAGTATCATCACTGAAACTAAAAATTTCTGACTCATAAAAAACTTAATTCAAAAACATTCCACCGTTAAAATCAAGAATGACCAATAATCTGGCAATGTTCAAGTAGCAAAATCAGGCTGCAAAACCCGCCGCTTCGTGTGTTTGGTGCAGAAGCCTGTGGACAAAAACAGCCAAGAGGTGTGTGGGCTCTGGAAACTGGTTGCAGAGCTTGTGGGTTGCCAAATCTGCAGGGGCCAAATGGGCAATGGATGGTTTCTCGCTAGTAGAGTAGCAAAATGGCAATTCATGGGTGGCCTGCAGGCTGAGGTAAAGAGTAATAAAAACCAATCTTTGACTGACCCAAAGAGAAAAATTGGATCTGGGATAGTTGGATCTCCCTTTTTCATGACATTAGTCAATTTGCCTACAATTTGCCTTACTTTTATTTGAAACAAATACAACAATACAGTAGAAAATATAGTGATTGTCCCATTATACATGTCCATAATGTCTTCTAGCATAACATGGTAGATTTTTGCTTAAAAGACAATAGCCTAGCTCAAACGACAAACCTAAGTCATGCAAAGAGATACAGAGCTCATAACACATGGATTTAATGAGATGCTACACGGTAAAGACCAGAAATTCAATCAACTCAAATCCGTTAGTCGCAACATCTGCAAACCAGATAAAACCTGCACGACTCCTAGTCTTTCTGGTAAAGAGATTATTATGCATTCTAGCAATACTGCCATGTTTTTAAATAGAAACGCTCTAGACATGCATAAAACCAACAAGCAACTATAATTTCTAGCTACTTGTAACATCTTCAAGCAATCATATGTTTGATGTTGAAGAACGTCAAAAGAATCCTCTAAAGATCAGGCATGCCCTTTCCGGTTTTAGCATCATATGTCTTCTCCAACACAAGATCCATTGGAGTATCCTTGGGGCCAGCTGCAAAGACAACAAGAACAAACCCAAATAAATAGAGTACGACAAAACCAGTTTGGTTATTTGATGCTGGAATTTTGTGTCATCGTTTTCATTACTTGAAAAATGGGATAGCTAAAAAGCTTTTTTTTTTTTCTTTGAGGTATCAGGTATTAAAACCAATAACTGGATTGCTCGTACATAAATGTATTCAAGTTTCAGTTCCTCAAAAAATTGGAAGTGACTTTTTCCTGAACTATTTGATTTAAGACTTCCGTTTTCATCTGTGAAAGCTATGGTCTAAGAATTCAAAACTTGCTAGTCTCTAAAGTAATCCATATAGATTTTGTGTATCCTTCTGTCCTTAGCATGTGCTATCTGGTATCATTGTCGACAAACTTCATGACAGTATGCAATTTTTTTTACTTGAATAATTAATTATTGCTAATAATACATGCCGCATATAGCAACTTAGAACAGATAATGGCAAGAAGGAAAAGCAACATATGAAGAACAAGAAGATCAGTGTTTATGTGTGTGCTGAAGAAAGAAGGATAAAAACAATGGATATTAGCTTCAGTTGAGTACCAACTGTAGGTCTTGGTGTTGTCCTTATCTTTAATATCTCAGGGCGAGGAATTATAGACCCCGATGTCCCTATACCTCTGGATACTCTAACTTTTGTTCCATCCTCTAGATATCTAATCCCAACCTTACAAGGCTTCCTGCATAAGTTAAAATTAATCATCATTTCTTTGTGAAAAATGAGAATAATAATGGTTGCATGCAATAGGAAGAACGGTACCCTGTGACTGGGTCAACAACTTGTACATTTGAGGCATGAAGTGGAGCTTCAACAGTGAAGATTCCACCTTCATGACCAGGTCCTGCCTTAATATGCTTTTTTACCTGCAATAAGACATGACTAATCAATGATTAAACAACTAAAGTGGACGGAGAAAAAGCCAGCTTCTGTGTTGGCTACATGATTGACATACTTCCAGTTACTTTTCTACAGGATGGATAAGGTAAATACAAGAAAATTTGAAGTAGGTCACCAATTCTTGGCCATCAAAAGATTCACATGTTTCCAGTTATTTTTCTAAGGGATGGATAAAGAAAATATATGAAAGAAGCAGGCCTGTAATTCGTGGGCATCAATAGATGACAAGGTATGAGGTACCAGAAGGAAAATAAGAAAGCACTTCATGCACTTGACACAAAGAGAAAACCAACATGATAGAATGAGTATCTTACCAGATTTTTACCTTCAACAATGACACGATTTTGGGAGCGAATGACACGCTTAATAACTCCAGTCTCACCTTTATCCTTGCCCCTAATTATCATTACCTGCAAACGTTAAAGATAAAGATAATAAAATCCAAAAACAAAGGAAACGCATACGAAGTACAGAATCAGTTAAGCAGGACTTGAATTTAATATCATCCTCACATTGTCTCCTCTAAGAACCCTCCAGTGCCTGATAAGTTTCTCAGCTGCCTTCCAACCCATTATATCACTAATCAAGACCAGGCACCTAATACCATTAAAGCCAATCAGTAGACAATATGGTGAATACAGTCCTAAGAAATGTCAAACTTAAAACAGATGCATGAAAAATGGACATGGACAAACAGGGATAGGTAATATTTAACTTGGAAGCAACATTTTGAAAGAAAACTTCTTTTTTATATATAAAAGATTCAAGCAGTTAAGTGCAAGAATGCATATAGTAAGTCCTGTGTATATCATTGCTGCTTGTTCCGAGTACAAAGGAATAGTAATTATTAAATGCATAAATATATATATACAAGAAGAACTACATTTTTCTCGCAGTTGTTGCTGTCAAAAGTAAAAGAAGATTAAGTTATCAAATGAAGCTTTCCTCATTTACTGAAAATGGAATAAGTTCTAATTATTTCCTCATATTAGTTATACGGATTTACAGCAAATTATGCTTTCTGAACAATAGAAAGCCCTCCTCTTTATACTTCAACTACAAGTCCCTGATGCATAACCAAAATTGCTCTTATCAAGAAAAGAGAATTTTATTTATTGAAAATAAAAAAGATTACATCACAAATTGCCTTTACGAACCCAGGATTCAAGGTTGTAGTATTAAACCCCAACCAAGTATCACCAGGAACACAAAAGAATCAAAACTAAAAGAAAAACGAAAACCACGTATAGCATAGGTAAACAAAGAGAAGCCTTCAATGAAATACAAAACAATCTCGAAGTAACACATTATCTGTAGAAAACGAGAAAATGGAACAGCAAGAAAACACGTCTCGGCAATGAATCAGGAGGAACGAAGCCTTGGAAGAAAGATGTTGAGTAGCACGACATTAGCAAAGAGGCAGTAATTGAACAAAGCAAAAATTTATGCAAATAGCAACCAGAAAACACTAGAAAAAAAAAAAGAGAAAGATCCCCGGTTTGAAGAAAACCAAGGGGTCCTATCGCCGATGAGTTCACAACAGATACATAGTGAAAGCACTTTACCAGTGGATCCTGCCGCGGCTGCTCCAAAGCGACGCTGAATGGATGATTTTGAAGGCGAGCAGGGAAAAACGGCGGATTGATTTTGAAATACAGTTAGAAGGCGAGCACACTGCGTGCAAGTACGAGGCAAAGATGATAACTCAAGGGGGTGGTAAAGAGGAGGTGATCGAACAGTGGGGAGAGAGTCGAGGTAACAAGGAAAGATGAATTTGAGTTTTAGGGCTTTCTTATATGGAGGGTTAGTTTAATCATTTTACAATAAATTATATATAATAATTTAAATTAAATAATATAATATAAATTAAGTATATAATTAAAATTAATTTTAATATTTTTAAATGTAAATTTTTAATAAAAATTAAAATTAATTTTTTAAAATTACAAAATATATTTATTAATTTTATAATTTTAAAATCAATATAAAATGCGATTAAAATTCTCAAATTTTATAGTAAAAGAAACCGACACAACTTTTTAGAATCAGTTTATGTATAATCGATTAAGAAAACAAGAGCTAACTCAAAATATTATCTTTAAATACAAAATAAGCTAGTTTCATCTGTAAGAAACTTAAAATTCAAGTGTTTCAAAATTTTTAAGAATAACTCTAATCGGTCCTCAAGATAAAATCCATATATATAACTCTTGGAGACCTGAATGGATGATTTTGAAGGCGAGTAGAGAAAAACGGCAGATTAATTTTAAAGTACAGTTGAAGGCGAGTACACTGCGTGCAAGTACGAGGCAAAGATGATAACTCAAGGGGGTGGTAAAGAGGAGGTGATCGAACAGTGGGGAGAGAGTCGGGTAACAAGAAAAGATGAATTTGAATTTTAGGGTTAGTTTAGTCATTTTACAATCAATTATATATAATAATTTAAATTAAATAATATAACATAAATTATGTATATAATTTAAATTAATTTTAATCTTTTTAAATGTAAATTTTTAATAAAATTT